GGAAGAAGTGGCATTTGGAAGTGTTGCTGACTTAACATTTAGGTTTCGGCATAACAAAGCTTGCACTGTCTTTTCGCACTTAGGCGCACAGCGTGCCATTGGTAATGATTCTACTACGGTGCCACAAATTCGCAAGCTGATCCTAAGTAATCGTTGTTGTTCATTGGATTCCGGAGGAACTACTTCGTTAGGATTGGGGAATTGCTGCGATTCTTCCTGAATAGCCTGGATTCTCCCGTCGAGAGTCACTTTGAAAGTATTACCTAAACTCTTCCGACTGAATATGATAAAGCCTATAAAACATAGAGCTACTATCATTTCTTCATTATAGATTGATATCTTCTTCGAACTGAATGCACAAATAGATGGAATAGCAGCAAATAACATCTTTCTAGCCTGCATATTCGTGGAACTCAATCTCATTTAGAAAGCTTATCTCTATCTTTCAGCAACTGAACGGGAAGTGTTTAAGAAAGGACTTTAGAATCGGATGCGCTCGCCCAGCGAGAAAGGCCCTGACCCTGCCAACCAAGTCAAAATCAAAAAGAAAGAAGAGAACGAAAGGAGAAGAGAACTTCGTATTTTGGTAATTCTCTAGGAGTCATGTTTAACCTTGAATGCTATTAATAAATTCTACAGCAATAGTCCCTCGGACTCGGAAAGTAATAACGAAAATGGCTAACCCAATAGCAGATTCCGCTGCTGCCACCGTTGAAACCAATGAAGCAAATGATTGACCCATCATATCATCCGAAGAAACGGAAAATACCAAAAAGTTCGAATTCACAGCTAATAACATTGATTCAATTGGCATTGACATAATAGGAATATTTCGTCTATTAAGGAGGATTCCCCGAATACCTAAAATAGAAATGATCATCGAAAATGTGAAATATTTGATAGGATCCGTTTCGGGAACGTGGAATGTAAGAGAAATTCAAATGTTATAACTCCAGTACGTCAGGAAAGCTATGTCATTTACAACCCCGGCGTATTTCGGATGCTTGAAGGCCCCGCTGACCCAAAAAAGATTCTTCTAAATTGTTTTTTGAATCTCAAAGGTTCAATTTTGAACAGTCATTTCAATCTTTTCTAAGAAAGATCAATCTCGAAAAATCCGTCAATAAATGACGAACCCCATTATACAGATGATAGGACAGGGCTAAGGCAGTCATCTCGACGGAGATTAGGATAAGCTTTGATGAATAAAAGAAGAATTGGTAGAAATTCTCATAGGTGAAGCAAATCAAACCCATTTTCAGACAAAGAAGATAAAAAAACAAAACTATAGTGGCTAGGAAAGCCCCGGAGATTCTATGGAAAATTGGAAACGTCGAAGTAAGCTGTGGCTTATAAATAGGAAGATGAGGAGATAATGGGCGAAGGATCTTTTTTCTATTATTACCACGATCATTATCACGGACGGAATGACCTCTTCTTATTAGATCCTGGCAGCAAAAATCCGAAAGTTTCATATAAAACTCTTTCTCTGCTTTATTTAGGTTGCTGCTATTATTAAAGATTTTTTTTATTCGAATAAATAATTCTGTAATTTCAGCATCATCTAATTTTTGATTATGCGTAACTGGAAACTTCATTTGCTTTTCTTTCTTCTTTCTCTGCTCCCCATGAGGAAGACTTGTCGGAAATCGCCGGTTGGGTTGGTCCAACCAAGAAAGGCATGGGAGTCTTTGGGCCGAGTTAAGTAAAGACTGACTACCTAGCAAGAAATTCGATCAATGCACTGGGTTACTTACGGAATCTCTCTCGACGCCAAGACTATGTTCTAGGCCTCAGAGGGGTTTGGCTTTCAGGGATTCCATTTCGATCCAACCCCTACAACCGACATCTTTCTTTCTATACGAAATTCTGTTCCCCAGCCTTTTTTTGGGGCCTCAGGCTAGACTAACTCCTAACTATTGATCATGTCTGCTGTCTCTAGCTAATAACATCTTCATTCTCATCGAAAGATGCGCGTGTTTAAGGGAATTAGGTAACAAAGGACAAGGACCCATGGAGCCATTGCCCCAAATAAACGTAATTCGGCCCGTAGATCGTATTCAGTCCAGTTTGCTCAACCAGAACTCGAACTTTCTCTTCAATACTTATCTGTAAAGATCGAATAAAGGTAGGATCCTCTGTATAGAGGATGTCATTGATGGACCCTGCACTAGAACTAGAACGCGAACTTTCGGAGAAAGAAGGCGACATGTCCAAATAATTATTAGGAAAAAAATTGGGTACTATCGGAGTCGGAGAATTCAAATTAGGGTCTAATGGGACTAAATCGCGGTTCATCGTTGAGAATTTTTCTCGTCACGCTTCAGGATTAAACTCATATTGAACAGAATCTTCGTCACTTCATTCACGATTTTTTGTTATTTCTAGATTCCTTTAAAGATTTCATTTTTTCCAAATCCACTTTCAATTAAAAAAAAATTCCTTAAGTTAATTCGGATTCTTTCTTGTTAATATTAATATGGATTCCTTGTCGATTTTTTTCCTCGTTCCTTGGGCATCTCACTTTTTTTTAAAAGAGAACTCAAATTGGAGCTCAAAAAACTTCTTTCGAATCTTGGATATGCTCCTATATGTGGCGGTTCTTTCCGCATCTGACCGCATTAACTGCTCAAGCTTCTGCTCGAGCTTGCGAGAAGAGTACTCTTTTTGCCTATTTGTGAGAATAGAATCCTGAATAATGGCATCTCTTTTTTCTCGCCAAAATTCAGGTCTCTCCCTATCCAATTGATACATGCGATCGGCTATTGCCCCTTTTAGCTGCACGATCGCTCGCGCTTCTCGCAATAGCTGACTGTCAGGAGCTTCAACGCTGCCACCTAACCTATGAAGAGTCCTCAGCTCGGCGATTGATAGAGGTAGCGCTCCTTGGTCGTTCGGTTCCGAGGTTGAGTCAGGCTCCATCTCATCCGCAGGGGGAAAATTAAGGTCAAGAGGCGGCCGTTTCGAAGAGCTGGCACCGTCGCTCCCGACGTAGAGAGTCAGGTTATTCTCTATTATTGGATAGACCCATTCTAAAACATTTTTCACTGCTAGAAATAGGGCAGCCCCCCTCCATCCCCACCCGAGCCCACTAAATAGGAAGTGGACAGATTTCTCAAATAGCATAGCTTTTATCTTCTTTACCAATAGCATAGTCCAATCCAAGCCGAAAAGTACAACAAAAGAGTATATGGCGAATAAGGTCAACAAAAATAAGACAACTGTCGAGATTCTGACTAAAACTTTAGACATTCGAGGAAAAAAAGTGAATAGTGTTTGCATTTAGTTTCAATAGTTTTGAGGCGGGGGCAGGATTCGAACCTGCAATCTTCAGGTCATGAGCCTGATGAGTTGACCAATTCCTCTACCCCGCTTCTTCCCCCCTGACTTGATCGAAAACAACGTTCGACTTGCATGTGTTAAGCATATGGACGAATCCTCGAAATAAACTGGGAGCCTTTTAACGGGTTAATTATTAATAACCATTTACAGGATTAATAATCGTCCGTCCTCTCATTTCCTCGCGCTATTTCGCTTTATTTTTGCTTTCTCCTTATATATCTCCTTATATATGAAATTAGTCGAGATCGCGACTATAGAAGGAGTTGTTCTAGAACCCGCAGGCAGAATACGCTTTGTTGGAAGAAGGGCAACAGGTATGACATCCAGTAGAAGCTCAGGGACGGATTGAAGAGCTGCTCTTAGGGAAGCTAAGGATCTCTATCATTGGTTCATCAGAAGCCATCAAGCACGAAAGCTGCAAGGAGTGTGCTAGTGAGTCCCAAGCGAAGGAAAGAAGGACATGAGAGGCATAGAGAGGACTCAAGGACAAGACACGACTCAGACCCCGGCTATTTTATCTTCATTGGCCTTGCTGTCCGCGGATCGGTTACTCTCCTTTGAAGTTGAAGCTTGCCCAGTAGGCAGTTAGATGTAACCATGCTGGCAGTACTATGATAGCCTTAGAGCGCAGATGTCTCTGTCCCTAGGAACGTGATGCTTAGGTGCAGGGTTGAGATGACGGAAAGACAGAAGAGGATAAGCAGCTGTAAACAGGGCATGCCACAGCTGTCTTGGGCTTTTTTTATAATAAAATTACGCAGTGGTAGCAAGCATTAAGCAGCTGGTTTGAATCGATCATGAACTATGAGACGCTTGCATTTGCCGGGACATTTTCTGTCGTCACACCAGGGATTTTCCCCTGAAGTAGAGAGTAAGGGCGGGTCTTCATCTCGGAAAGAAGCTGGCATGGGTGTCTCTTCATTGTAGTAGCTTTACCCGGACCGGGGCACGAACGGACTCTTTATTTGATTACCTTTTTTCTATGCGAATGCTCGATCTCCTGCTTGTGTTGAACGATCTAAAAACACTGACCTTTTTTAGAGGACAGGTAGATCTTTACCACTTTACGGAAAAACCCTCTTCTTCGATCTTTTCGAGCTCGACAGGACGGAGGAAAAAGTACATAGGTTTTGAAGAAGCGGGTCTATCGATGATAGCTTTTTTTCCCTGTGACGTCGACGTGACTTCGTAACTTGACCTCCTGTGATAAGAACCTTTACGTCTATAGGGAGCAAGACTTGATTGACAGCTATGAAACTTGTAACAAAGAGACTCTTCTTTCAATCCCTCTGAATGAGTAAGGCTGTGGAAAGCTATTAAGACGACTTTTAGCTACAAGCCCTTATAGCGTAATTAAGCCAACCAACTAGGACTTTTTCGGGATATGAATGAAAGGGTGCTCCACAAGGGCATCCTCG